AACACTGAGCTTTGCTTTAGACCGTTAACTAATGAAAGCCAGTCATAAAGTGCTAAACTACTAATGGCTCATTTCTCAATGATGAGTTCTGCCTTCTTTTAAACAAGATTTCATTTAAAAAATTTTACACTGAAATTTCTGGTGTGACAAAAACAGATGCACTCTTGCACTCTCTCCTTTTCATCTTTCTTCTCTATATGGCCACTCCTCCTTTTTCCTTTTCTTTCCTTATTTGGTGGTTGTGCCTTCCTACTAGCTTTTGCTTAGGATGTCCCACCCTCTACTTCTGACTCTAGTGAAATGCTATGCCATCTTTATGGTCTAATTGACATTCTAATTCTTCCCTGAAGCGTTCCCGGTTACTCTATTCATCATTCACTCAACTAGTACTTATTAAAAGGGTCTTAATACCAGGTACTGGTATTACCAGACTTTAAGAACTTTTCTGCATCACCTGATTTTACTGATGAAGGGACTAAATCCTTGATACAGTCATGTGCTTGACAACTGGGCTTTATTGCCTTAATGTATTTTTCTGTTCTCATTTCCTGTATTTAGTAAATTTGCCCATATACCTTACTCAACATTGTCAATGTGGTTCTGATTTGAGAAGACTGGGCCCCACCTAGGGCCATCACCTGTTCCCTGCCCTGCCACTGCCCTTCTCCCTCATGCCTCCCCACACATCTAGGTCTGTCTCCTAAATTTGCTAAGAGAAATCGTAGTGAGTAACTGGAAGAACCATTTACCTCTATCTGAGCGGGTCCAAAGGCAGAGGACTGACCTATAAAACAAAAGTGGAAATCTTGAGATGCTGTGTGCCAAAAGAAAGTATGGGCTAAGGACTGTGGTGGACTGGTTGGTCAGTTAGAAGTCATCAAGGCTGAGTCTCAGGTGACCAGGACACGGGCAATTTATAACATTCCTCTGCAATCATTGGATAATCTATGTTTGACTCTGGATCCCTAATGTATAATTAACCTTGATTTATTACTTTTGAGATACAAATTTGAGGAGTTTGGTGTTGAATGAATACTAATGCAAGTCCTTTTGTAAACTGGAAAATTCTTTTATTACTGTCCCTTCATTTGTTTTACTATGTATATCAAGATTTTCCTGCATTGGTTTTTGTTTAAAGAAGGTACATAAACCTTTTAACAATGTTTTATATGTGATCAGTATCTTAAATTCAGGGACATGCAATATTTTGTGTTCATAGGACATATTTAAAATGCAAATATTCATCTTGGATCCGTTGAAGAGCAATAGCACAGTAATAAACTCTGTTTTTCCTGGGGGAAGCGGACTAAATAATTCTGCTTACTTGATTATCTAAATTAATTAATTAAGAGCACAAATCCTTGCCAAATTGAAATAAACACATTAAGGGATATGTGTTTCTCTCCTGGATAATTTCAGATGGTCCCGCTAAAAAGAATGCACATTCATCCTAAATAATATATTTTAGAATGCAACCCCTGAAAATAGAGTTAGTTGTGAGAGTATAAATTCATCAGAAACACTTTTTAGACCTTATTTAAGTCCTTCAGATGGTAGCGTATATTCATTCTCTTTAACCCTTTAAACAGACTGTATTTGGGATCCAAGTATTTATGTTAATACATAGTCTTTGCGTTTGGTTCTGTTCTCTAATTGTCTCAGGTGTATATATCTTAAAAACTGTAAATTCCTCCAATAAAATTGTGACTTGGAACAGTCTATCTTTCCACCTCTTCATCCTTCTCCCTTCTTTTTTTTTAAAAAACTCCTTTCACTCATCGAAATTCCCTGCTCACTCACCATTTCCCTCCTCTCTGCTCCAGGCACCTGCTCCCGTCATTATGGCTGAGGAACAACCTCTCCTGGAACTCCTCAGACACCAGCTTTTTCCTTCCTCCACCTTCTCGTTTCGTCAACACCTACTGTTCATTGCCATTGTTGCAGTTACCTCCTCTGATAATCCAACTCATGCTAAAATGTTAATGACAAATTCATGTGTTCTTCTCTCAGCTAATATTCAAATAATCAGGGAGTTTCATTATCTTAATAAAATGGAGGACAGGACTTCATGAATGATTTTGTACTTTGTAGTGAGTGGGTTGTGGGGTGCAGGGGGATTTTTTTGAGTAGTTGACCTTCCATTGACCCCAAAATCATAACATATGAGCTTTATCTATTAATAACTAAACTTGAATAAGTGGAATGAGTTTGATGACAAGACAAAGAGTGGCCTGAAGTGAAGATGGTAAACTTCTTGATTCCAAATGTCAGTTGGCTTGAGCCAGAGTCAGAAATGGCTACAAAGCATTGTTAGTACATATCATCTTCTGTACCTCAAATATGAGAGAGCCTATGAACTTATACAAAAGATAGGAATGAGAGCTAGGAGAATTTTCCTCTCCTTGCTCTGTGATGCTTGAAAATTATTTAAAAAGAAGGAAACCCTGTCATTTGTGATAACATGGATGAACTTGGAGGACATTACGTTAAGTGAAATAAGCCATAAAGACAAATACCAGATGATCTCACTTATATGTGGAATATAAAAAGTCAAACTCACAGAAGCAGACAGTAGAATGGTGATTACCAGAGGCTGGTGGTGGGTGGGGGACAGGGGTTTGAGGATGTTGGTCAAGGGACACAAAATTTGTGTCCTTTAGACAGGAGGAATAGGTTTAAGAGATCGATTGCCCACCATGGTGATTATAGTTAATAGATTGTATATTTAAATATTACTAAGATAGTATTAATAGATTTTAAGTGTTCTCGCCACAAAAAAGTATATGATGTAATATACATGTTAATTAGCTTGATTTAGCCATTCCACAATGTATACATATATCAAACCATCTTGTTATACCCCTAAATTTTTATTTATCAATTAAAATATTTCAAAAAGACATTCTTTGCACTCAAACTCTATTTAAGAGAGCATTTTTAATCTGGTGCAACTAGTAGCTCCTGTATTACAGATGTTACTGGTAGGGAAAACAGACCAAAAAAAAATCCACATTTTTAAAGATAATTTAAGGTTTTCCTTGTGATTTTCTTATATAATATTCACTAAGGCCAATGCCAGTTGTGAGATTATTTAACACTCAATCTAGAATCCTTTTTTAGTATTCTTTATGTGTGTTTAAAACAAATGGTGCTTTAACTTAATTTGTCATAAAACACACATTGTAACTGAAAAAAGGCACATCCTAAAAACTGGATTTACAGGTCCTAGTTCAGTATCTCATTTAGGGAGACAATGTGTTTATGACAACACAGCCTTCAGCTACAATCACAAAATAGCTTCCATGTAATCAGTGAACCACAAGATGGCACCACTGAACATCTTGAGATTAGCTTATCTCAGGATGACTTCTTGGTTCTCTAGATGACAATGTATCGTAAGACCTTCAGAAGGAAAGGAGAATGTTTTGTGGACCATTTTTGGTTTTTTGTGTGGCAATTTTAAGTTATTAGTTTTTAAAATCAGTACTTTTTAATGGAAACAACTTGACCAAAAGTCTGTCACAGAATTTTGAGACCCAAAGTTTAATGAGGAAAAAAAGATAGTGTTATGCCTCCAACGTCAGTCACTTCTAATGCATAGAGTATGAAAGGGAAAAATAGTAACTTTACAGCTGAGAAATCTGGCAGACATTGCCTTAACTAAGTGATCAAGGTTAACATTGCCATTGATCGGTCATGGTGAAACATGTACCTCTGATATGATGGATGAAAAGAGCACTTCACTTCTGTGGTATTCTTCCCCCAAACCTATAACCTCAGTCTCATCACAAGGAAACACGAGACAAACCCAAATTGAGGGACATTTTACAAAATACTTAATCAGTACTCTTGAAAAGTGTCATATTCGTGAAAAACAGGAAACCTTGAGGACCTGTCACGGATGGGAGGAGCCCAAGGAGACATGGAAGCTAAATGGAATGAGGAATCCAGGTTTAGTTCCAGGAAAAGGGATGTTAGTGGAAACATTGGGGAAATAAGAATAAATTCTATAATTTAGTTAAGAATATTGTACTGATATTAATTTCTTACGTTTGACAATTGTACCGTGGTCATGTAAGATGTCAACATTAGAAGAAGCTGGGTAAAGGATATACAGGAACTGTCTGTACTATCTTTGAAACTATTCTCTAAGTCCAAAATTATTTCAAAATAAAATTTTTAGAAGGTCAAGTTACAGACTGTAGGGAAGTCTCTTAAATGCTATCCTAACAGCAGCAAATTTCCATCATCTATTATCCATATATACCAGACTTCTATGGAAGCTTGTATAATGGTTTGGCATATTAACCCGGTACATGGTTCCAAGACCTGGGGTTTTATTCCTCTGTAGGCACAGTGAGCATATTTTTCAAACTCCACATTAGGATACATTGTCTGACAAAATAATGTTGTGCAATTTTCAAATGCAAATTGATCACAGATAATGAGGGTAGAACCAAGCTGATTTTTTTCTATTCTATGGCCATGGTTGGCACCTTTTAATGACATTCAGTTATCTCACTAATGTGTGTCTTAAGTATGATAGCTGTGGATTTCAGACTTTAAAAATTTTGTATTTTACTGATCATTAGTCAAATCAAATAATGTGTGGCTAATATCTTTGCTAACGTGCCAAATACTTTTTATTGCACAGAATAGTGGTTTGGCCCATAAATAACCTATTAGAATCAAGGAAGGACACATTGTAACTCCTTTAAGGGGTGTGTGAGAACCAGATTCCATCATGTTGTATTTGTGCATATGGATGTGGGAAAAATTTTACTAGGAAGTGTTTGTATGAATAATTAGGAAAACAACGCTTTCTAAGTCATGATAAGGGCTAAATAAATAAAAATATTAATATATAATTTCTCTCAGGGATGTAAATAAATTTGAAGGGTTTCTGACATATTCAGTAATTTTTATAAACTAAGCTATAGTTAAGGTGTTGTCATAATCCTACAAAAAGAACAGTTGTAAACTGTTTTTTAATTGTCCAGGAAAAATAATCTCACTCCATTCAAACAGCCTTCCCAAATTAAGAAAAGTGACAGAAGACAATGCAAGCTCATGCTTTTTTGAAAATTTTAAAAATGATATCCAGGCTAAAGAGGTTGCAAAGGAATTGATTGTTCTCCGGGTAAAGAGAAGATTGTTCCTAGAACCTGCTGCTATTGTTTCATGAATTGATTCTTACAAACTCTGTCTCATTTCCATTTCTCACATAATCTTTATTTTGCCTTTGGTATTTTTTCCCCCAAGATTTTAGTGTAAACAGAGAAGTCTTGATCTTGGGTTCCAACTTTCCCCTGATCAATCAATAACCTGTAACTTTTTCCTTTCCTTTAAAAACTCTAGTCTTTGGTGGCTGGCATGCTCCACCCTAAACTGCTCACCTGATTCTAGACATTTCCTTGTACCTCGATCACTAGTTTTTGAACCCTATCCCAAGTCAAGCCCATTCCCTTGCTGAGTTTTCATCCTTCTAGCCTTGTGCACTCGTTTCTTAGAACTGCTGTAACAAATTGCTACTAACTGTGTGGGTTAAACTAATGAAATTTATTTATTCCTCCACAATTCCAGAGGTCAGAATTCTGAAATTGAGGTGAATTTCAGGGCCATTCTCTCTCTGAAGGCTTTAGAGAGGAATCCTTCCTTGCCTTTTTGTAGGTTCTGGCATTGCCAGCAATCCTTGATATTCCTTGGCTTGTAGTTAGACCACTCCAATTTCTTCCTGTGTTCTGTTAATACATGGCCGTCTCTCCTTTGTGTGTGTCTGTATCTCTGTGTTCAAATCTCCCTCCCCTTTCTCTTATAAAGACATCAGTCATTGAACACCCCAATCCAGTATGACCTCATCTTAATTTGATTACATATGCAAAGACTTGTTTCCAAATGAGATCACATTCTGAGGTTCCAGGTGAATCTGAATTTGGGGGGACACTGTTCAACCCAGTACAGCCCCAAAATAAAGTCTTCTACTAGAGAACTATCAGATAAGGCATTCTGTTTAAGTTACTCATAGTAATGCTGCAGTTTTCTAAACTACAATTCGAAATATGTTTAAAAGGTGCCAGCCATAAAATAAGAGCTCTGATTCAAAACCTTTATGTTCATTTTTAATAATTATAAATCTATAACTTGTACTTTCATTTAGG